AGCCTCAAAGACCTCTCAATTCCCAGATGAGCAAGGACGAGGGGGCCTCTGAGCCCATATACTCTGCCCTTGCTGAACCCACCAAGGAACCTTCCTGTCCAGTTTCTGAGCAGGAAGTGAGGGCTAAATACCGATCCTGGAGAAGTGGGGCCACAGTCGCTCCAGGGAGCCCTGTTTTAGAGACTTAGGGTGTGGGGTTCCCAGGCTCATGCTGAGAAGTCTGGGGGAGATTCCCACTAAGCAGGCCTCTGGTCTGGCTCTGGCTGAGGTGGGGATGGGAGTTGCTCGTCCTCCAGTACCATCTCTGGACTCAGCCCAGGGGGGTTGCTAAGGTCTTTGAGATAGGGAAGTTTCCAGCCTGCTCTCCTCCATCCTGAGCTGCCGGCTCCTCTAGCTTTGGCCAGTGGGGGCTTAGCTCTGTCAACCCCACCCCCATCTGACACCGGCGGAAACTGGTCCAGGTTGGTAAGTGGGGAAGTGGAGGGGGCGGTGGTAACCAGCCCTGGGGTGAATCAGGATGCAGTGAGCCAAGAGAGGGGGACAGAGTCTACCAGGGGACTCCTGACATCAGGCCTGAGGAATTTCTCCCGTCTCGCTACACATAGCCCCTTTTGGACTCCGAGAAGTGTCCCAGCAACTTTGCCTGAGTGTTGGAATGACACTCCAACATCTTCTCCAAGAGATGCAGTCCATGGGAGCACCGCTAGCCAGCAGAGCCATGCTTCACAACTCCAGCCACAGGGAAGGTAAGCTCCATGTGGGTAGGTAACTGTCAATCGAAGTTTGGGGGCACTGGCTAGGTGGGTAGGTCACAAGTCCAGTTACAAGTTCTGGAGTCCCTGTACCTTGTGCCTTGCCTGCACCAGATTGTGGAAATAACTGGCCTCCAGGCAGAAGTGAGCAGCAGCATTTACTTGCCTTCCAGCTCAGCTTTATTTTGTACAAATCTACAAGGTCTCGTGTGCAGAAAAGCCCCCGTCGGGACCACCATGAATCCATTTGCTCTCCCGGACTTGGTGGGAGACAGGACACACAGTCTAATGCCCCAGTAGACAGAGGAAGTAGAACAGGAGCCAGGAAAGGGAGAGACTGGAAGAGATCAAGGAGGTCTTCCCCAAGTAGGCGGTACCTGCCAGTGTGTCAGATGGAGAGGGTACAACCACAAGAGCAGACGTCTGGAAACCTAGGAGAAGGGTACACCTGGGAAGGGCTAGGTGTCCAAGAGTGGCGAGCAGAGGGGAGGCTGCGAGAGATGGCCAACCAGCTCCTGATGCCATGCTATGAGTTTTTGACTCTACGTAGTAGGGATTGTTGTTTCAAACCTTTTGGGCAGCCAAGTCTAAGTGAAGCTACCCAGGGATCCTAGCCTTGATTCCTTGCCCTTGATCCTGTTTGTCCTTTCCTCTACAGATAAGACCTGGAGGGTACAGGGCAGGGACAGGGAAGAGGTATGGGGAGGGGGAGCCCTGGCCCCCAATACCTCCTCCCCATTCCCTCCTGAGCCTCCAGGGGCCTCAGGCAGCATTATCCCTGTCTACTGTGCCCTCCTGGCCACTGTGGTCCTCGGTCTGCTCGCCTATGTGGCCTTCAAGTGGTAAGTAGTCTGGGCACTGCCCTGTGGCACACCCTCCCCAGCTGGACTCCCAGCTAGCTCCCTCTGTCTCAGTGAAGGCTGGAACAGGTTGGCGGGTCCCCCCTGCTCCCCACAGCTGGCGCTCTCATAAACAAAGACAGCAGTTGGCCAAAGCTCGGACTGCAGAGCTGGGGACCTTCGACAGGGACCAGAGGCATGGAGACAGCATTGTTTTCCTGGACAATCCTAGCGGTCAGGAGCCCTGCGCCCCCAGTCAGGGTGAGCCCCCTTTCCCAATCTACAGACTTTCACACCTGGCTGTGCCGTAGCACCCGGCCCACCTGACCCTGTTGTGCCCCTCACGTCTCCCACCCTAGGGCCACATCCTGAGCTTGGCTGCCGCCTCTACCTTCACCTCCCTCAGCAGCAGCAGGAGGAAGTGGAGCGGCTCCTGGAAGTCTCAGACGAACCTGACAAGGGCTGGCAGGGTCTGGCGGGCCGCCTGGGCTACCAGACTGATGCTGTGGAGGTCATGGCCCAGGACCAGGTGCCAGCCTACACCCTGCTGAGGGACTGGGCTGTCAAAGAAGGCAGCGGTGCCACTCTCGGGGTGCTAGAGGACGCCCTGGCTGCCATGGGCCGCGAAGACGTGGTCCGGGTTCTGCGCCCCCCAGCTGAGGGCTGCTCTGTGGTGTGAGCGGTGCCGGCACAGCCCGGCCGCTCAGGGAATCTGCTTCGGTGCTTTTCCTTTCTTGGGCTTCCTGGCACTGGTGGCCTCAGCCTGCCTTGCTCTGGGGGAACAGAGAAGATCCGGCCACCACTCAGCTCCCCTTGTCCGGCCTTCCTCCAGGACGGGGACCAGGATGTGGGGGGGGTCAGCAGTGAGGGGTGGTCCTGCCCTCCTCCCTGCCCCACCTCCCCTCACTTAGCCTCAACTGGTTTTTCTATTTTTGTATCTCGTATTAAAGGCAACTTTGGACTACTGTGCCGCCTCTGACTCCTTGGGCCTGAGAGACGGTTGGGTTGCTAGGAGGCAGAGGCCCAGAAAGAGAAGAGGGTCCGCGGGAGGTGGGAGGAGCACGTGAGGTGGCAGGCAGCATGCTCCTGTAGAAGATGCGAGCACTCGGGAGGCACAGGCTGGAGTTCACATCTGCACCTTGCCATTCGCTGGCTGTGCGTGTCAGGGAGCGATTTTTACCTTTCTAAACTTGAGCTTTCTTAGCTGGAGAACAATACATAGAATGGCACATTTGGTAGTCCCCCCCCCCCCCCCGCCCCTAGACTCCCAAACTGGCACTGAGGGGTCTGGGGTTTGAGACCATTTTGTGACTTCTGCTGTGACTGGCATCAAGAGGAGACTGGAGGCAGACTGGCCCTGGGAAGCCAGCTACCGAGGGCCTCAGGTCACTGCTAGTTGAGAAAAAGGAAGAAAGGTCTCCTCGTAAGACCCATGCTCCAGGCTCCGGAGGGAGTTCCTAACATGTTTCCACGGCTGCTTCCGTGATTTCCACACAAGCCAAGGGCAAGCAGGTCATCCCGCCCACCTGAGGGGCAGTTGAGAGCAGGGCAGCTGCAGCCAAACCGCCTGCACCCCATGCATCCCCTCCCACCCTGAAAGGAGGAGTGGGCAGGCTGGTACCGGCCTTTGGAAGGGTTTCCTACGACGGATGGGCCCTGCTCAGGAAGGAGTAGGGGCCGCCATCCTGACATCCATGAGGCTCAGGGCACGTAACCAACACAGCCACCCGAATTCAGGAGTCGTGGGATTCCGTGGTGGCCTAGGGAGGCCTTGGGGAGATCCTGTCCTCTGGCTGACAGAGGTGACTGGGGCTGGCTGCTTAAAATAAGGAAGGGGAGGTTTATAGCCACCTCCAGCCTAAAACGACCCCTGGGCAATAACCCAGGAGGGAAAGCAGGAAAGGCCCAGCATCTAGTCCGCTAAAGTGAGACCGGTGCACTCGACCTCGCAGCTACTTGGGCAGGGAGTCGCCCACCCACAGGGCTCTCAAGGATTGGACTGGCGATGAATGTGGAAGCCTGTGCCGAGGGGCACCGAACAGCTTCTGCATTAGCTGGTGCCCCTTCTCACAACCGAGGGGATTGGAGTCTGAAGTGTCAAGAGGTGTGTGGAAGGGGAAAGATTTGGGGAACACTAAACAGGGAGCTAAGATAACAGAATTCCTCTTCAAAGGTGTCCTGTCTGAAACTCTACAGCTCCCTGGTCACCACCCTTTAATGGGAAGCCACCTAAATTTCCTTAGAAAATCTGAAACCTGGAGCCTCGGGTCGAACCATGAATTTGACTTGGTTGCATGCGAGCAGCAGCAGAAGACAGGGCCGCTCCCCTGCACCACGAGCCCACCCAAGAGAGAAACGCTCCCTTTTAATGTGCATGTTAACTGAAACATTCTGAATAACTCTCAGATGTTAATAGGGCTGAATCAGAGTCCATCCATTCGATATAATATGTGCTTTAAACAGTTTTGAAGGCTGCAGTAGCATGGGAAAACACTTTGTCTATATTGTTAAATAGTGGGTCTAATGATTAGGACTTTCAATGGGGGTTTTTCGCCCTCATTAACAATGAGGATCTGAGGAACCGAATTTTCCTCATCCAAACAGCACCAACTCCCGTCCTCAGGGTCGTAAGGATCGAATGGGCACGACCTGAGCACGAAAAATGCCCAGCATAACCCGCGTAACCCGCAGCAGGTGAGTGCACACCAATCCACACTGATCCACTTGGCCCAACCGAGACTTAGCAGGCAACAGCCCCTTCCCCAAGGGCGTTGCTGCAGGAAGCAAAAGAGCCCTGGTGAGGAAGAGATGGGACCAGTCTCTGTAAAGATAGCCCCAGATGGCCTGAAGCCTTCGGCTCTCCTCACAACGCTGACAACTGGTGCATCAAAGGGTGGCGGGAGGGGGTTTGCCACTGAGCCCTGCATCCTCCAGGAGCTGCCCACTCTCACAACCCGTGCACTGTACCCCGTAGTGTCCAAACCCAGTGTCAGGATGCATGGTGGGGGAGGTCAGGGAACCCAAACATCAAAAGAGCGTCCCAGTGAGCTTGGGGAACTCAAGTTCTGGAGGGAAAAGGGCCAATGCCCCTCCTCAGCCAGGAAGTATAAAGGGGAATTCTCATGCCCTTCTCCAGACTGACTTATTTAAAACTGAAGTAAAGAAGCCCAGAGGCCCACCTCCTTGCTCTGGAATACATGTTAAAGCTGATTCCACCCTGTATACAGGCACAAGATCCCAGGGCCAAAAGTGTCAGTCACAGTGAGACCTGTTGGGGACAAGGCCTGTGATGAACTCCAAGTTCAAGGATTAACTTTGGACTTCACACACCTATGGCAACCGTGGCTCCTTTCTCCAGTGACACCACCATATAGAAACATGCTTGACTAGCTTTTAGGGAACACACGTGTCAAGTTCTTTAATTGATTTTATTTTTTACATAAAAAGTTCAGTAAAAATTGGATAAAGTAAAGTGATTTTAAGCAGTAAATCAATCTTATCAACATAGCACAAGGCTGGCCCAAACCACAAGGCAGCCTGCTTTGGAATATTTACATGATAACAAATTAAACCTTGCAGGAGAACTTAAACTGTCCTTACAAAGTCTTCCTGTGATCTAGCACGTAGAGGCTAAAAGCAAAACGAAAAACAAACAAAACCAGGAAAAAACAAATTATTTTCAATATATTCACATATACATTAAAATATAATACAGATCATCAGGGTGAGGGGTCGTGGGTGGGGACGCGCACGGGTCTGTGCGCTGACAGCACCGCCAAGGAGGAGACCCAGGTTTGGGAGTGGGGCTAGGCCTGGCCAGGATCTTAGCAGGGTCCTTCCCTAAGCCCTTGCCTCTGATGGGCCTCCAGCCACACCCCAACGGCTAGTGACCAGGGATCACTTGCTGTAGATGGAGCACATTTTCCTGGTTTTCAGTTGAAAACCTGTGGGTCTGAATTCCCCAGGGCGACACGTCACCGGTAGCATAGCCCTGACAGCGGGGTGGGGCAGCGGGCCCGCAGGATTTCTCCGAGTCTGTCCTACCTGCTCGCCTGTCCTCCCACCCTGGCCCCACCAGTCACTCTAATTCAGTGTCCTCTTTGGGTTTGTAAACAGCCCCAAACTTCTGCATGTACTTCTTAATATACTCCTTGGTTTTGTGTTTCACATTCTCATTGCACTCCAGGTCCTCAGGGTTCTTACAGTACTTCAGCTCCTTATTCATAACGCCGTGAGTCAGCTGTCCAGGACACAGGAAGAGAGACCACAGTGGAAATGATTTTAGCGGGGGAGGACCAGCCTGGTGCCTCAGGGCCCTTCTCACCAAGACTGAGGTTGAATCAAGAGACAGGCTGGGGCAGGCTGGTGCTGGGGTCAGCAGAAAGGGGAAGCTCAGCTCTGTAAGTCTGTTAGAAAACACCAACCCTATCCTCAAGTAGGGTGCCCTCTCTTCCCAGACCTTCCCTCTCTCCTCCTGGGTCCCCAGCCCAGGCTTCTGGCAAAGAAAAGCCACTTTCTGTGGTGAAAGGTACACGGTTTTCCCAGAACACTGCCAGACCACAAGCAGAGGGGAGAGGGGATACCTTGCGAGCTAGGTGTTTGAAGTCTTCAGTTGTGGTGATTCTTCCCACTTTGCAGTCAGGTTTCCGGTAAGGGTTCAGGCACTGGACGATGAACTGGGACATCTGCAGGCAGGAGAAAATGCACACACTGCTCAAAAGTCCAGAGAGGGCAAGGGCCTGTGCTGGGGAAATAATCAGACAGCCAATCCTTCCCTTCTCACCACTCAGGCTGGCTGGTTTAGACAGAAGGATGCTACTCTGCCGGGGAGGGGCGGGGGGAGGTGGCAAAAGAGAAGATGACCCTAGGTTGGGCCCGGGAAGGAAAGTGCTTCCTGGGGTAGAGGGAGCAAGCCTGACTTTGAGCAGGAGGGGGAGAGCCAGGGCAGGACTCCTCTGCTGCATCTCATGGTAGCCCCAGGTTTCAGCTAATAAATCTCAGGTGCTTGGCACAGAGTGGAACTGAGTTCTCTGAGCCCTGGAGGCATAGCAGAGAGAGTGTGCAAGTGCTACCAGCAGGAGGCTCAGCAACCCCAGAAACATAGGCATTTTGTTACAGAAGGTCACTTAGATTCTGTGTGAACTTCTTTTAATTTTTTTTGTTTTAACTAGGCTCCACGCCCAATGTGGGGCTTGAACTCAGGATCCTGAGATTAAGGGACACAAGCTCTGAGTCAGTCAGGCGCCCCAGCGTCACACTTCATCTGATTCCTACAACACAACGTGAAGCACATGGAAGTGCGTGTGGTGTGACAGCTGCTGGGAGAGGACCCAGGGTAGGACCCTCTTCAACACACAACTCCAGTGTCCTCCCGAGCTGTAGCATCTGTCCTACCCAGTGGCTCTCAAAAGAGACCCTGGCACAGGACCTCCAAAAGTATCTGTGGTGCTAAGATCCCAGGGTACAGAGGAAGCAAAGAGGTCAATGACAGCCATTTGGTCAGGAGGCACCCTGGACAGGGTCTACCCATCCCTGAAACTCAGGGAAGCTTCAGATGTTCAAAGAATAAGGCTATATCACGAGGCAGGCACTAAACAAAGCTGCTGGTGGGCTGGGCCAAAACACCAATAATTTCACTCAGGGACAGCGAGAAACTAAGTTTTATCCCTGGAAAGGGCTTTTATTCAACGTTTTTCTACGGCATTCTGGCCTCCATACTCTCTCACTTCAATCCACTTCCCCAAGTATAGCCAGGGAATTCCTTCTTCCCAGCTTCAAGTCGGCAGTGGGGCCCTGTGACTCCCAGACACACAGACCCTGTATGAAGAAGCACGAGACTGTTCAGTCTCATCTTCCAACACCCCTCACATACCCTGTGCAAAACCCCCAGACTACTTACAATCCCTTGGGAGGGATGAGGCTTTCTTTTACTCCTGTACATTCTACAGCCTGAAGTTCTATCCCTCCTGATCCACCCGGTCCATTCCTACCTGCTACACAAGAGCCCTTCGTGACACCCTGAACAGTGACCTCTAGCCCTGTGCTGGCACACTCCTCACACAGCCGCCATTACTTATTTACAGGTCTGTTTCCTCCAACAGTCAGTGAATCAAAACTGGAGTTTAGAACCTAGATGCCCGAGGCAGACCAGGCTCGTGGGCTGACAGCGGGAAACACACACTTCCAGTAGCATGAAGAGGAGCTGCTTTCTCCCAATCCTGTGAGGATAAGGCAGCCACCAAATGAGAAGTCATAGAAACAGGACTGGACTTTGAGCCAGAGGGCCTGAATTCAGGTTTTCTGTCTAGAACTTGCCTTGTCTGAACCTTAAGAGGTCCACCACCTACGTAAGAAGAATGACAATTCCTGTCTTGCCTACCTCAAGAGCTGTTACAGGGATGAAATGACAATGGATATGAAAGTGCTTAATACCTACCTGTAAAGGACCATTCCAACGTGCCCTCATCACGTGACAACTATACAGTCACAGAAGCAAGGGAATGCCCAAAGACATTAGGACAAGAAAGGAAAGGGCTTAAGCTTAGGCCTACAGAGCTTAGTGCCCACACCCACTAAACCTTACCTCTTTTCTGAATACTTCTTTGCTTTTCTTAGCCAGCTCACTGGAGGTGTCTGCTTCTGCTGTCTTAGGCTTTTTTGACGTCTAGAAATGCAAAAGAAAACACAACAGTGGTGGCATGAGACGTCATGTCAGTGATGCCCTGCTGTTCCAGAGCCCTCCTTTCTTTCCCCAGCTGGGACACCTGACCCCATTCAGGAGCCTAAGTGGGCATGGCTTGGAGTCAGCTTGGCTGCTGTCACCCCAGTCTCACCGCATGTTTCAATCCTGGCATCTGGCTCTGGTCTCCTTCCTGTAAACCAAGTTCTTTGCCCAAAGTCAAAGTTACATCCTTGATGTAGCTATACATTTCCAGTTGTTTCAGAGTCCCCTTCCCTGAGGAGGAATGTGCTGTGTGACAACGGACCACTCGGGTCCCTGTTCTGCGCTTCAGTACCCACACTGTCAAGTGAGGCTGGGACTTGGTGAGCCCCACCTCTCCTGGCTCTGACATTCTGTGATTCCAGGACAAAAGAAAATGCTCTGAAGAACTTTCACCACACAACTGGAAGGTCAGACCACACCACTGCCCTCAGCCAGGCCTTTCCACTCTCCATGGATACTCATCACCTCTCCTCCAAAGGCAGAACCAGCCAGACTGCAGGAAAACAGTCTCAGCATGCAGGGGAGGCTCCCTGGAGGTTGGGATCTCCAGCTCGGGAATGGAAAGCCTAAAGACATATCGTAGTACTGGGGGGGAAGGAGACCAGGGTCATCCAAGTCAGTGAACAGATGAGAGGATGCTAAGACACAGAAGATACTCCATCCGAAGCTGGTAAGATGACGACAAACCTAAAAATACTCCCTCTTCCAGCTGTGCTGGAGTCAAGGCTGCCAAGTTCCCCCTAACTGGGCACCGCCAGGAGGTAAGGGGCCAGCAGCTGTGGCATTTGGAGCACCTGCCATGCAAGGCCATCTCCCCATACCTTTGCCCACCACCAAGCATCAAGCCCCTCGCTATTAAATGTGCTTTTCCACGGAAAAGATCTAGGAGCAATTCCCCTTTGAAAGATTTCAGATGGACATAGCAGCCACAGTTGCTATGACGGGTACTTCATGTTTTTGCCAGCTGCTTAGAGCAGAGAATTTTTCTACTCCCAAACCATCCCCCAGTTTGGATTCCTCCGTTTCCATAAACAGTATGAAGGCGCTGGTGATGAAGGAGCTGTTCAGCTCACTTTGCTCTGGACCGGCTCCAGAGAAAGGTGAAACTCCCTTGGCTTTGGGCTGCTACAAATCTGCTTTCTCTGATTTGTTATAAAAGCTTTACATATTTTCCATTTTTCCACTTTCTGAGGCTGTGGGAGCAGGAGGGAGAAGGCAGGGCAGAAAGAGTATTACAGATTCAACCTGTTTTCAGGAAACAAGACCAAACAGCACACTGTAACTCTATTTTCAAATGTTTTGCTTTGGGATTTTGTGGTTATTTTTTCCAGTAGTAGGGACTGTGGCTGTGCTTCACAATAAGACCTCAGGTAGCAAGGGATCAAGAATTGCCTGACTGCGCCAAGGAAACTTCCAACACACCCTCAGCTGTTCTGTTGTAGCTCTCGGAAATGAGTAGCAATACCAACGGCTACAGAGAGCCCCTGGAGATGACAACCATCTCAAGGCTCCTGATCCTAGAGAAGAGGCCAGGCTCTCAGTGAGGGTACTGTGCAAACAGAAATGTTCTGCTTCCCTCTGAATGCGGTATGTGTTCAAAAGCTAAATAAATCTAGCATATATTTAACAGCTTTCTAATTGAATCTCTGACTTGGTGAGGTTGGTAGGGCTTTAAAAACACAGTTACAGAGCACAGTCCACTGAGCTCTGTCTAGGAGATTTCGTGGTCCTTTTGAGTGCTGAGCAACTGGGACTGAGAAAGGAAATGTTCAAATGAAGGGTACCTAACTTTACATCACAGAAATCATACACCAAAATGAAGTACTCTAGGGAGTACTGAAATTCATGTATGCCCCTTGGTCTGTGGTCTGCAAATGGCATGTGAAATGATTTCAGAAACTGGTTAATGCTTACTTCAGCCCAATGCCAAGCAATACCTGGAGCCAGAGTCAGAGCCAAGGACAGCACCTGATGGACACTGACATGAAAAACCTCCTTTACTCCAGAAAAGTCCCATTTAAAAATATTAGCATCTCTACAATACATAAACTTTTAAAACAAGTGTTAGTGACCTTCTCAAATGCCTATTGCCAAATAAAAATCCTTTAGCACCAGAAAAGACCATTAGCTTGTACCAACGGTCCCAAACATATAACAAGCTATCTCATGGGGTAGAGAACATCTACCTAATGCAGTGGTCTTGCTGAGATCCCAGGAACCCATCAGAGAGGGGAAGGCACTCTGATGGGTGCAAAAGCAATGTTTTCCCAGGGCCTCAGCAATAATCAGCCTTTTCCATCTGCTGCCTCATATGGGGCATCAGCCAATGGAGAACTGTGGTGGGAATCTACGTGAACAGTGGCCAGATGAGAACACACAATGAGATGCAGGCAGAGGGCTCGGCAGACAGCCAGAGCTTCCTGCCTTGAGCAGCTCACCCTGCTGTCAGCCTTCATCTGGGACATGTCTGGATTCCAGGGAATCTCGTTGGAATATGATCAGACATGAATATGACAAGGAAGGCCCAAGTACCTTCACATTACCTAAGGTGAGGCTTCAAGTCCTTTTGGCTTAGAAGGGAATGACTTCAAGTTTTTTGGATGGCTCTGATAATCACATACTGGCTGTGTAACACGACAAATGCAAACTCCAATCTTTATTATACTGACAGAGATGACCATGTCACAAAGCCCACACGCCTTGGAACTTACGAGTGTGGTGTTGGCTGAAATGAGTCCTGCCAGAGAGAGAGCAGGACATACCCACCTAATGCTTCTCTCTTCCTGAATTTAATTTAAATACTACCCCTTGGAACATGAAATGTAAGACATTATTCAAGGAGGAACTTTATCTTTCAGGGCAGCATGAATCCAGAAGAAGTTGAGCTTATCAGAAACACTGCACATGATTCAACCAAAATCCTGCAGTGTGTGACCCTGTATATGTCAACTGAAAATAATAAAAGCTCAGTATATTGTTTTGGAGCTGCCACCACCTTTGGTAGCAAAAAGAGCAAAATTATTTATTTCAATGTTTGGCTCTAGATAAGGCGCCACACTTCATTCTGTCAAGAAAAAAAAAAAGGTACTCGTTAGGGAAGGGAGGATTGGACAGGAACAAAAAGATCTTTAAGGCAGTTTCTAGAAACAGTGTTTCAACAGTCTGACTAGATTACACATAGGCTGCATCTATTTCCCTCAGAAAAGTGGAACTAAGCAAGCTGGAACGAAGGTCCTAAAGACATCTCTGCGAACCAGAAGGCCCCCTACTCTTTCCATCTGGCCCTGAGTGCAGCGCAGCCCTGGAGGCTTCTCTCTGGTCCCCCAGCTAGCAACCAGGCTGTACTTATTGGGCAACTTAACTATCTGCTCTGCAGAGATCTGGGCTCTGGTTTCTGACAGTCCTCTCTCAAATGTGATTTCTCTCTTGCTAGGAAGTGATTTCATGTGGCATCCTTTTGCAAACTGCCCCAAAGCCAAAGATAGGACCATCAACTGAGGAAAGACTCATGGCCCCTGATCCCATCCTCTTCCAATTCCATCAATCCAACAAACACTCTACAGCCACTCTTTTAACATAACATAGTTACACTCAGGACATCTACTACACTGTGTCTGAGTGTTAATTAAAAGCCAGAAGCCGCTGGTAAAAACTGCTGTCTCTCAGTCATGCAAGCAGTCAGCAATGATTCATGTCTCAGGCCTCAAAGGGAAAGCTGGACTTCACACTCACGAAATGAGGGATGATGGAAGAGAGCACAAGATGACCAAGAGGAAGGAACAACACTGGAGGAAAACAGAGAAGGAGGGCTCTCACAGACGCTTACTCTCAGCATCAAAAGCTTTCAAAACCACCCATCCAGCACCACATAGCACTCTTCAAATAATTCTCTGCCCATTACACACCTCCCCTGTGTAGATATCATAAGGTTTCAAAAAAACACTAATTTACTGATGTCTCAAACCTAGATACAACTGCCTACCGGCCACCATTCCTACCCTGAATCTTGTAAGGAGCTCGAATCCACAATGAACTTATTTCCAAACCTCTTCCTGATCTTTCCTTCATCTCCTAGACTGAATTAATGGGATCTTATGCCACCAAGCAATAAATGAGGATGGTGGGCCATCCTTGCCTCTTCCATACCCACTTGTTTGCAAAGCCTTGACCACAATGCCTCTCAAATGTCTTTGCATGAATCCCCAACATCTCCACTCTTAGTCCCTCACTTTGCCTAAACTATTCTTAATACTCTCCAATCTGATCTCCCTGCTACCAATCTCAACTTTTCAAATGAGCCTGTTTCGCTCAAGGGAAACATGAGACTATCTGATTCCCCTGCTTTAAAAGCATTCACTGGCTCCCAAGTACCTATCATACTTATAATAATCACATTAGTAGCACACAAAGATCTTAAGAGAACTTAAATAGGACTTTTCCATATTTTTTGTCTTGTTCACTACCCCATATGCACCAAACTCACCATACCCAAATATATTGTTCCCTATATATACGGTCTTGTCCTCACCTTATGTGTTTGCAAAAACTGCTTTCTCTACCTAGAATGCTCCATCCTGCCCACACTGGCTATAAGGTAAAGTCGTGTTTTGTGACATTTCACTGATGCATCTTCTCAAACCATTAATCACCATGCTCCCATAGCATTTTGTACATACTTTTTATTTTTTATTGTTTTATTTTAAGCAGGCTCCATGCCCAACATGGGGATAGAACTCACAACCCTGAGACCAAGAGTCACATGTTCTACTGACTAAGCCAGCCAGGCGCTCCTGTACATACTTCTAATATAGCAATTATCCCACTGTGTTCTTGGTTTATATATGTGGCTACTTCTTTAGAATGAACTTCCTGAAGACTAGTATTCAGTTTTATTTCTTTTTCTATCCCTAATACCTCACACAAAACATGTAAATTAATGA